AAAAGCATTAGGTTACCTGATTAAGTGAAGTACAAACTGATACATTAATAAATTCTATTACAGTAGCTGTGATATTTTACAGTAAGCAAGTTTTTGTCTTGACTCATCACCCCACTGGTAGGCCAGGAGAGAAAAAAGGTGAGAACAAGTGGTACAGATTCTATCTGCAGTATTTTCTTAGTCATGAACCATGTGATAGGATGGAGAAACAGTTGGTGTTTCTCTGTGATGCGCAGCTTGTCACGTGGACACCCATCGGGACCAGGGCTGTGTGTTCACTGGTGTGATCTTTGAGCCTCCCACTAATGCAGTGCTGCCTGCACAGCCCCGTCTCTCAGCCTTCAGAGCCATCCCTGGCTGTGTGCACTGCTGTCATCTGGTTTTGTGGAAAGTCACTCTCAGGTGGCATTGGTTTCTGCAGGAGGGTTGGTGCCACCAACTGCTTCTGATTCTGAGGGAAACCCAGGCAATCAGCTGAAAATTTGGGTGGCCTTCCAGGAGCAGTGCAGTCACAAGGCACTTTTGGGCTGTACCACTTGGGACACATCAGTTGTCCTTACAATATTCCAGTGATTCTCTGAGCTGGAGGTTTGCTTCTGCTGTGTCAAAATTTGGGGTGTGATTGCTCGCTCAGCTCTTTGCTTTTCCTTTGTGGATGGATTTTGAGGTTGTTTTGAAGGGTGTTTGTTTTTGCCCAGCTGTCAATCACAATAGCACCCCAGAAACAGCAGGCTGAACAAGCAGTGAGATGAAGCTGTTCCCCATCTCAGGCAGTACCCAGGACAGAGGGGAGGGTTTGTTTTGGGGTAACTACACAAAAACTTGTGTTGCAGCTGTTACTAGTATCTCTACCACATATAGATGCAAGGTTTAGGGACTAACAGACACATATAATGAATTTTGCTTTCTTATTCTTTTGTTCTCACTGGTCTCTAAGCTAGAAATGAAGGATTTCCTCAGAAAGCCAAAGAATTTGGTGGCTTCAAAGTGTTAAGTGCAGTATTGGTTGTTCTGAAAAACAGACCTGGGAGTATTTGAATATCCTACATCTTCCAGCTTGATTTTAGTGACATGCTGGCACAGAAAGAAATAGAAAAATCCTTTTCTAGATATTCCACATATCAATTATTTAGTTGAGGAGAGTCAGCTAGGATTCACAAAAGAGAGATTATGCCTGAAAATATCTGTCTCACATGTTTAAAACAAATAAGCTGAAGTAGGAGAAAGAGAGGCCGTAATATGCCTGGGATTTGAAGATTCTTTGTAGAATCATGCTGCACAGAACCCCATGTTTTATCAGCTGGTGTGGCAGTGGGTGCCAGAGAGCTGGTCTCAATAGGGGGTGACTTTGGATGCAATGTCACCAGGACAGGCCTGTTTTACCGGGGGCCGGGGAGGAAGGACAGAGGAGTCCTGTAGAGTTGTTGGGATGTGCTGTGGATACAAAGCTGGTGGCACCACTGGGGGAAAGGAAATGGTGTGATTGAAGGGCCCTGGGCTAGCTGCATGAGGTGGGCAGAGCAGCTCCTGCATGCTTGTACTTTGAGGAGACTAAAAACAAAGCCAGGGTCGTCCTGCATCCTGAAACTTTCCAGTGTGCCTTGAAATCCTTGTTACCCACAGAGGCTGCTAATTCAGCCTGTGGCTTTTCATTACTGCTCCACATCCATCCTCTGTTTTGTCAGTAACCACAGAGAGGAAGACAGTGACTCCAACCTTCCTCACACATAGCCCTGGTGAAACAGTTAGTGTGCTAAACTGCATCTGCTTTTCTTGAATTAATTAACACTCTTCTATTTTGGTTTTCCCCTGCCTTGAGAAGGGGAAAAAATAAAACCAAGTTTTTCCCCTCAAATGGATGGTAAAATAGATAGTCTGATATTTATTACTACTGCAGAAGATCAGACAATATTTAGAGTCTGGTGAAGCATTTGTCTCCTCTCAGGCTCTCCAGAAGGCAGTCATCCCTGTTTCAAGTGCTAAGACAATAGTGAATAAAAAGAAAATTCCCTGTTCCAGGGCTATTTTTACCAGAGTGGTGCAGTTCCTGTTCAGTAGACCTATGCCTCTTAATCTACATCACTGATGATATTGGAAGCTATTTTAGGCATTGCATAAAATGTTCATCCAGTCTTTGCTAAAAAAGAAGCAACCAACCCACAAGTCCTTTGTTAAACACTGGTTGCAAGGCTTCAGCAGTGATTTGGGCAGGAAGATCTTAGGCTGAGGTTGTGGAAGTATCTTGCTTTGTTTGGGAGCAGAGGTTGTGTGTGACCTTGGGAAAGCCCAAACTGATGATTGTTCTTTCCTCCCCCCACCTCCTCATTATCCTGAAAATGTGGAGAGTACTACCAATATCTATTTAGGAGTTTGGCTCTTCTAATTTGTAATGGCAGCTGTCTGCTGTTTTGCCCAGCATCTTGCACAGAGGGACCCAGTTTGCAGCTGGACAGTAATGAAATTGAGTTCATTATCTTGTGTGAATGTGATAATGAAATGAAATAAAACCCACCTGAACCAGCAAAATCTTGTAGAGTTTAGATCAGGCCTCAGTCACAGTGGTGAGATTTACTGAGATGGTAAATGTCTTTACTCCTCTTTGAGAAGTACAATGCTGAAAATGTAATTTAATAATTTCCAGGATTTTGACTTGTCAACTTCCTTACATTTGTGTTTTCACTGTGTTGGGATGCATTGATTTTATGTGATGAGTTTCCTAATTCTGTGAGTAAGCCAGATAAACCTGAGGTTAAATCTCAGGGCTGAGTGTTCTCTGTGTTCCAGCATTTATCTGGATTAGGCTCTTCATCCCTGTCTCCTCCTATGCCTTTTGTCCTGTCAGAAGTATTTTTATAGGTGTGAAAACATATCTGAGGGCAGCCAGTGATGATTAAGCTGGTTTTTATTTGCAGTATCTTAAGGTGAAACCATTTGCCATGGGCTGTTTCAGCAGCCACTGTGTCTCTGGAAATGCTGGCATGGGCAGCCTGAAGGTGGTTTGGGTAGCTGGTTCAAGGTCCATCCCCTGTGCAGGACACAGCCTGGCAATGTGTATCCATCCCTTGTGAGCCACAGAAGTTCTGTTTGGAACCTCTGAGAGAGATTACAGGACAGTTTTCAAGATTTCCTATTCTCCCACCATCCCAGCTCCATGATGGTTTTGCTCCCAGAGCTCCTGGTTGCTTTGGCCAGTGAAGGTGAGCTGGAGAAGTGACGGAGAGATCATAGCAAGGCTATGAATAGCAACTGGTAAATGGTGGAGCTGAGGAGGGTGAGGCAGGATTAGGGAGGGTTTCCTTGGTCTCTGCAGAGGATGATCTTTGCAGTGGCAGCAGCAGGCACCCCTTCCCATGAGTCACAGGAAGCTTTTTCAGAGGAAAGGTCAAGGAATTGCGTTAGTGCCACTCTGGCTTTTTTTTTCCCGCTCCTTCCAAAAGGCCTTTTTGCTGCCATGTCCACTGTCATCCTTGTCCCATACAGCCTGCCTTCCTCCATTTCCTCATCCTTCTCCCTGCTGTGGTAGTTGAGAGAGTGGGGAAAAGCTGTCAGCTCAGGAAAGATGCTCATAAGTTACTAAGATCTGTTTATAGCAGTGAGGGTGGAATTTCTGTTTGATGCAAGGGTTGATGGATGTGTGAAGTCATCCTGTGGTTGCGGGGGAAGGCAGAAGGGAATTGATTCCCTTTGTAGCCCTCTACCCCCAGAATTTTGGGAGACAACCCCTGGAAATCAATGGGGAATTTGTTACTCCTTCCTGTAAGCCCCTTGGCACTCTCAGGTAAATGGGGTTTGTTGGACCTCTCCCAAATTTTGTGGTGGGGAGATGTTTCACTTTCCTGTTGACAGCCTTCCCTGTCAGCTGCTCTGCTGTCACAGGGACTGAGAAACACCAGGTTACTGCTGGGGAGTGAACCTAGTTGACTTGTGTGTCCTGAGTGCAGGGAAATTTTATCTTGTCTTGAGTCCTTAAGCATGTGCTGGGCTCATTGGTTACTCCTGACTGACTGCTCCTTTGCTATGTGTGCTGTTTTATTACAAACTAAAAATGCTTGAAAACAAACCAGTTCATCTTTTAATTCTTCTCATATGCTTTTAAAAAATTCATTTATCTATCCCTCCCCAGCTGAGCTGTTCAGCACCCCAGCTCCTGACAGGACACAGGGTGATTTCCAAATTCACAGGTTGCTTTTCCTACTGAGATTAATGTTGTCCTAAAGAAAGCCTTGGAATAAGGCGATGAGATCGAAGCAGACACAGCAAATGAATAGTGGCAGTAAAACTGAAGTCCTCACTTCACAAAGAACTTGTTTCTGAGCTGAACTGTGCAGTGAGCCCTGTTATACTCTTGTATGAGTCCTGAAGGGTTCTTGCTTGCCCCTGCAGTCCTGCAGCACTTCTGCATTTTCCCTGGTTTTATTTCCCCTCAGTGTGAATAATCAAATGCAAGGATCAAATAGCGTAGTCAGGCTGGTTCCAACACATGAACAGCACTAGATAGAAAAATAAAAGAGGGAGAGCCAATTCCCTTCTTGATCTGTAAAGCAGAAAATAATAAATTCTTCCAGTCCTCCTTTTTGTCACGTACCATCCATAAACCCCGTTTGGGGTTCGGATCGGCATCACAGCAGAACCCGGCTGCGCTGCTGCCTGTGTGCAGTGCAGCCTTGTGTGTGTCTGGCAGCAGCACAAAAGGAACCAGCTGATGATATTCACAGCATTAAAGGCCTGATTCCTGGGGACACACTTGGTTGGATGCAATTAAAATGCCTGTCAGGCATTTGATACCAGCAGCCCCTTGACAAACCGCCTCAGCAGCCGCGAGGTGCAGCATCCTATTGTAAGTGGATGATGGCGGAGCCGGCTGCCTTGGCGTCGTTCTCGAAATTTCTGTGGCCAGTGAACTCCCTCTTCCTCTCCCACTCACCCTCTTTTCCTTTTCACCACTGCGGGGACTTGTGCTAATTTGCAGTTTTCCTTTTCCTGGCGTGCACATGGTAGAGACAAGCTGGTGGCTTGCAGACTGCGTCTGGCTGGAGACAGGCAGCGAGCCGATGGATAACAACACTCCGGGAGAATGATTATGCAGCAGTTATTTAAGGATAGGCTTTTGGGGTATGGCAGCAGCATATGAGCTGGTAATCATTTTATTCCAAAAAATGTCAGCTTTGTTTGTTTGCTTGTTGAGGATTTGAGAGAGTTGTACCTTTATGCTGAAGCTTTTTGGGTTTTGTCTGCTGTAGATTAAAATCTGTAGCAGTGCACGCTGGATGAATTCAAATGAATAGGTAATAAACTTCTGTGGATTTGTTTATACATGGATAAATTCCTAGTGTGTCTTATATGCAGACACACCTTGATATACGGTATGGATATCTTTATGCTTTTTTTGTCTTTGTATGATAGGAAAAAAACTTTTCTCATAGGTAAAAACTGTTTTTCAGCAAAAATTCAGTGTTTTCAGGTTTTTTTTGCCCCTCCCTTTGTTTTGTATTAGCAGATTCTTCAGGGTGTAGTCTTGGACGCAGCGTGCTGATTGGAATCTTCTTGTTCAAAGATCGCAAAGGTAGGATGCCTCTCTTTGAATGTGGGAATGAATGTGGCACAGGGTGTGGGCTGCTCTTTGTTATTTTGTTTTTCCTTTTTGATTTAAATAATAGTTGGTGGTTTGGGTTTTTTTTGTTTGTTTTTGTCAGCTTTGCAGAGATTTTCAAATTGTCGTGCCAGGCACTGTGAAGTTATTTTTGATGTGTAAATATATGCTCGAGGTAGCTAATTAGCCCTTTTGGCTGCAGCTACCAAAATGTGAGATGCAAACCCGAATGCTTGCCTATTGTCTTGTGTTAGTACAGGTGCAAGCTGCCCTCTGTCATTTGGGATTGTCTTAATACTGATTTTAGCACCAGCAAGGACAGGGTTAAACTGGCAGGCTTGTTCCAAGCAGGTACAATCTCTCCCAGGAAAGCAGCTCCTGGTTCCAGCAGCCTGTCAGTGCTGGGTGAGCATCTGTCTGATGGCTTTTTCACATACCACTGGCACTTCAGAAATGATGTCTGCTATCAAAAGGAGGAAAGCAAGCTGGGTTTTTCTGGCAATGTCATTGCTAATTCCCAGGAGTAGCAGTTTATTGTCCTCTTCCCCTAGTTCCTTTTGGCTGTGGTTGCTTTAAGCCTTTGCCTCTGTAAAGGAAAGAGGGAGGTAAAATGTTACAGAATAAAATCTAGAAGTTACTTTGTATTGGACTTCCGGGTATGTAAGGTGGCTAAGGAATACAAATTTCATTGATTTGCAGTGAGGACTGTGCTTAAAAAAAAAAAAAAAAAAAAAATCCAGTCAGGATTGAAAATCTGCTCCCTTCACCTTGATGGAGAGAGGAAAAGGTATATCCATCTTGAATTAACCTCTCAGGTGCCAGTTCTCACCCAACACCTTCCAGAGCAGACTTTATGATACTGTTCTCTGTTGTGGTGCCCTACAGGGGATCTTGGGTCTGCATTTGGACCTGGAGGGAATGTGTGCAATCACAATATGCACGTGTCTTTAGTCTGAAGTTTTAGGGGGCCTTTTAAAAACCTGAAAAAAAACCCACAGATTTTTTTTTTTCTGCAAAGGTGGTTATGTTTCACTCTTTGAGAAAGCCTGGGCTCCTGAAATGGCCATTGTGGCTCCCTGGACAGGGAGGAATCCCAAGCCAGAGCCTGGGCACTGGCAAAGGTGTGTGTGGGCCACTGCTAACAGCAAAGCATGCCTCAGAAAGGTGGTGAATAACCAGTATCATTGAACCATAGGACTGCTTGATAGACGCTGTTTCCTGAGGGAAAGCATTGTGAGTTTTTCCAGATATTCTCTCTCCTGCTTTCTTACATACAATTCTCTTATTTGTTTCCCTTTTCTACACATCTTTCCATTCTCTTGGCCCTTGTAGTTTTTCTATCTTTGGCAGAAGGCTTTTACCTAATAGATTTTCCTGGCTGAATACAATTTTTTGAAAGGAATTCTTTACTTGCTAGTTTATCTTAGCTGCTTTTAATAGTTTCCTCCTGGTATCAGTTATCACTAGACTAATTGAAATAGGAAAGCCTGTAGTAAATAGTGTTTAAAATGCTTTAATTTGAGAAAAATGCATTCAATTATTTGATTTTAGCTGAGAGCAAGTCCCTTCTCTTCCCTCTACTTTTAATTTCACTTCCACTGTCCAAGGCAAGAAGCCAAACTGCAGTCTCATTCTGATTTCATTAATGTTTTGCAAACTCTGTTTCAAGGACTAATATTGCTTGCTGGGCTTGATGTCAGAATCCAAGGTTTTGCTGCAGCATTGGAGAAGGGGAAGGGAAGGCTCTGTCACAAATAGAAATGGTGGAATTGTTAGCAGACAAGTAGAACTGCCTGGTTTTTATAGTATTGGTGGATAAAGAGCCCAATTTTTTGTCCATGTGATCCCTTCAGATCCCAGCAGGTTTTCATCTGCTATGAAAATGACTCTTATCTCCTGTGCACAGCATCTTATCAGTCCTCTATGGCATCCTAAAAACAAAGAAAGGGCATCAGCTGTTTGTTATTGAACCAGAGTTGGTGCAGACTGGATTCTTTTACTATGTATAAAAATGCATGTACATTTCTTGTACTTCTAATTTAGCAGTCATTTTGGCCTCCTCCTTTTATCTGGGTTTTGAAGATTCATGTTACAAATCTTTCCTTTGGGCTACAAAGAAGAAAATGAGATGTTATACTGGCAAAAATGGAAATTATTTCCAGCAATATAATTGTCGTGACGAAGACGCAAGGAGCACTTAGGCTGTAAGAAGAGATTTAATTTGAGATTGACAGGACTTAAAAAAACCTGTGGCCACAGGGTTGGCTTGGAATATCAAAAAGAGATCAAAAGGAAAAGAATATCAAAGGAAAAACATTTTGTTAGCTGATACAAAAGGCAACAGAGGCCAGAGTGTGCAGCAGCAATGGGGTGTGCTGGAATAGAGTGTGTGGGCTCCAAGGCATTCACCCAGGGTGATGTGATGGTTGGCACCCACCTTCCATTAAACAGGTGACATGGTGGCCAAATGAGCCAAGAGCATCCAGAGAGAGCCATGTGGTGCCAGTTCACCCCCAGGGCTCTCCTGCAGGGAGCAGCTTCAGGGCTGAGTTTGGGCCTCTGTGGCTGCCCCTGCCCTGAGATGGTCATCTGGCTTTTGACTCTGCTCCTAGTGACCCTCACAGCAGAGGTAAAGAGGCTTTATGGCTGTTCTAGGCTGGGTCTAAACATCCTTGGTTTGTTTGCCAGGGTTAGATCACCAGGAATGATGTTGTCTTGTGCTGTGATTATGTGGAGCAAGTGGTGGTTTGAGCATTGGAGTGAATGGTGCTGGCTTTGATTGGTGTCTTGTGCTTGATGATGAACAATTATTTACTGATTATTAGCAAGACTGTCTCCTAGGCAAATAGTTTGGTGGCAAATAAGGGTCCTGTATTATGGCTTTTCTTTCAGCTGCAATGTGAGCAGGGTCACTTGGCAGGATCTGCTTTTTCTACTTGAATGTCAGTTTTTCATGGGACTTGTAGGAAGGCAGCTACTTGTAACAAAACAGGCTGAAATTGGTCAAGGGACTCAAAAGTTACTATCTGCAGAGAATATAATCTACATCAAACTTTCAGTGACTAAGACTGGAGCTGATACACCATGATGAAAGTTCTTCCATATGCGTTTGCATCTTGTGTCCTCTCCTCCCATGCCAGAGCTTCCACTGTTCCAGTTTCTGTGTGGCCGTGTGCTGCCAGCTGGGCAGGGCATGGCACGCTCCAGAGCTGCTCTGGCCATGGTGTATGTGTGTGCTGCCTGTCTGGAAGGTCAGAGGCACTGAGTGGTGGGGTTATGGCAGTGCTTTCTTCATGTAAAGGAAGAATTCAGTTTAATTTTTTCCAGGGAGAAAGGTTTCCTTAATTCTCTGTCAAGCTACATTTAAATATTAAAAGCTAGGGATAGTTAGCAGAGGTTTGGTTTAGTAATCTTAGAAAGGACCTTGTGTAACCTGTCAAGAAAATAATCATAAAACCCCAAGAATCCAGTGGAGGATGAACTGGACCAGGAGCTGGGCTGACATGGCCTCAACTGGAGGAAAAAGGTGCACCTGATTAGGTGCAGGCCTGTGGTTCCTGTGAATGGCTGTAAAACTGCCAGGTTAATTCCTGAAAGTTTGTGTCCTCTTTCTCTTCCTTATTTTCTTTGTCTCTAAAACAGACAAAGAAATGCCAGCGTATTTCTCAGGAGAAGTATTCAGCTTTGCAAAATGATTGAGATCCTTGGTTACAGGAAGCTGTGACATTTGATCACTAGACTTAGGATGGTGGGTTTTGTCTTGGCTGCAGTACCAAAGGTGTTTGTGGCATTACTGCAGTAGCAGTAACAACAAAAAGGTTAAAATACATTTACTAAGATTTGATTTCTCCCAGCTTCACTCATCCACTTAACTTTTTCTTCTTCTTTGCTGCACTGATGATCATAGAGGTCAGTGATGACATTTAAGATGCTAATGAATAAATAGTAATCAATTAATCTGTCCCATTTCATCCAAAAGAATGGCTGTTTCCTGATGGACACTCAGCTGGCATACCAAAGCTGTGAAGGGCAGAGTCTGTGTTGCCAGTAGCATGCTCGGAGAATCCTGTGTAGCAGCAATGCTGCTGACTCATGCTTTACAACATTCCCTGGAACATTCCCTGACAGGCTGGAGGTGCAGATTAACTTCCTTTCCCATCCTGCTCAGGGGACAATTCACTCCATTATTTGCCACCAGGTGAAGCTTCTAGATAGTTAGGCACTGCTGCTGTTATCACTGACCTTTTATGGGGTGCATTAGCACGGAGCTTACGAGAAATCACGGGCAATTTATTTTAATACTTTGGGTGTCAGTCGCTGCTAAATCACAGGAGCTATTTGCATTTATTTTCTGAGTCATCCCAGTTCTTGTGATAAGGTGATTTTTTCAGTGTATGTGGTTTTTTCAGTGTATGTGGTTAGTAAACTGCATTTATCTCTACTTTTTCTTATTTGGTATATATATTTTGCTTAAAAATGCAAATGTACGCCTTAATTGGCTAAAAGAAAATTACTCACATGTAAGGAGGTGCCTTTCTTTGCCTTCTCCTTCTCAAGAGGAAGGGGTTCATGACTGCTGGAGACAGGAATAGAGAGCAGTGGGTGAAAGATCAGAGGTGTGTATTAAGTGACAGGATAAAAAGTCCCTGTATCATGCAGTTGCCTCTGTCTCTGTGGTTCCCAAGTTGCTTCCTTCCACATGCCCAAAGGGACCTGAGCGCTTTGCTGCTCCTCAGCAAGGTAGCATTTGATACTGAGAAGCTTGATCTTATGGTAGAATTCATAGCCCTGAATTTCCCTGGGGAGAAGGAGATACATGGGGCAGCTCTGGGGACTTGCACATCCTCAAACATTTATTTCAGGGGTTTGAAGTACAGATGTGGAAACAAGGTCACGACACATCTCTGTGGAAAGTTCCTTGACAAATCACTGCTGACTGCAAGCACAGGGCAGCACAGTCCAAGCATAGAGGA